GAGAGAGGGAGGGAGTGAGAGGGACGGAGAGAGAGGGAGGGAGGGAGAGAGAGGGAGAGAGAGGGAGGGAGGGAGAGAGAGGGAAGGAGGGAGGGAAGGAGGAAGGGGGAAGGGACGAGGAAGGAGAAAGGGAGAGGGGAATAGAGAGTGGGAATGAGGGAGGGAGAGGGAAGGAGGAGGACGAAGGGAGGGAGAGAAAGAAAGGGGGAGGGAGAGAGAGAAAGGAGGCAAGGGGAAGGAGGGAGAGAATGAAGGCGGGAGGGAGGGAAGGAAGGAAGGAAGGAAGGAGGGAGGGAGAGAGGGAGGGAGGGAAGGAGGGAGGGAAGGAGGGAGAGAGAGAGAGAGAAAGGGAGGGAGAGAGAGGGCGAGAGATAGATAGATAGATAGATAGAGATAGATAGATAGATAGAGAGAGAGAGGGGGGGTGGGAGAGCTAGAGAAAGAGAAAGAAGAAGAAGGGGGCTAAAGTGGAAAAAGGGAAGAGTAAAATGAATGAACAAGCAAGTAAAAAAGAAAAGAGAAAGATGAATGGACAACAAGTAAACAAGAAGAAGGAGGAAGAGAGAAAAGAGAAAAGGAATAAAGAACAGAGGAACTAAGAGACGCCGGCTGATCTACAGCACGAAACGGAAAACCAAAAAACGAAAAGAAAATACGAAAATAGGAAGAAATAAAAACGACCAATAAATAAATAAAGAAAAGAAAAACGATAAGTAATAAGTAAAGGAATAAATAGATAAAGAAAAAAACTAAATACGAAATGTAAGCAAGAAAAACCGAAACGAAACGAAAGAACGGAATAAATAAATAAATAAAATAAATAAATAAAAGAAAAAAACGAAAAGAAAATACGAAAAGTAATAAGTAAAGAAATAAATAGATAAAGAAAAAAACAAAATACGTAAAGTAAGAAAGAAAAAAACGAAACGAAACGAAAGAGAAAGAGAAATAAAGAAATAAAAGAAATAAATAAAAGAAAAAAAACAAAAGAAAATACGAAAAGTAAGTAAGAAAGAAAGAAAGAAAAAACAATATAGGAAGAGAAAATACAAAAAGAAGGAAAGAAAGAAAAAGAAAAATGCGAAAGAAAGAAAGGAGCCACAAAGCGTATCTAAATCAAACAAACAAAAAATAAAACGAAAAATAAATAGAGCAGTGAACGAAAAAAAGAAGAAGGAAAGAGAGAAAAGAAAGAGAGGGAAATGGAGGAGGAAAACAGAAAGGGGAGGAGGAGGAAAGGGAGGAGGAGGAGAAGGAGGAGAGGGGGGAGGAGGAAGAGGTGGAAGAGGAGAGGGAGGAGGAGAAGGAGGAGGAAGAAGAGGAGGAGGAGGAGGAGGAGAAGGAGGAGGAGGAGGAGAAGGAGGAGGAGAAGAAGAAGAAGAAGAAGAAGAAGAAGAAGAAGAAAAGAAGAAGAGGAGGAAGAAGAAGAGGAAGAAGAGGAGGAAGAGGAGGAAGAGGAAGAGGAGGAGGAGGAGGAGGAGGAGTGGGGGGAGGAGGAGGAGGACTAGAAGAAGGATGTTGAAGAAGAAGGAGGAGGAGAAAAGGGAGGAACAGGAACAGGAGGAGGAGGAAGAGGAGGAGGATGGCAACAGACGTGAACAAGGCCAGAGATACGGGCGACCATTTTTTTTTTTTTTTTTTTTTTTTTTTTTTTTTTTTTGAGCGTTGAATGATACGGCGTTGTCACCGTGTTTTCTCTCTTTTGCATTTCTCTTTTTCTCACCTTTCTTTATGCTCCCTTTATTTTCCTTCATTTTTCCTCTTTCCTTTCCTCTTCTTCCTACTGCTTCTCCTCCTCCTCTTTCATTCCTCCTCTTTCATTTTTTTTTTCACCTCATCCTCTTCTTCTTAAACATCCTCTTCTTTATTTGTATTGTTTATCTCGGGTATTTTCTTCTTTCCCATCCTTATCATATCTATCCTCTATGCTTTATTCTTTTATTTTTTTATTGATTTATTATATTCTTATTATTTCTTTTATCTATTCTTTTTATCCATTTTCTAATTTTTTGTCTTTATATTTTACTTATCTATTTCTATCTATCTTTTTTTTTCATCTATTTTTCCAATCGAATGTGTAAACCAAGGAAATCGGACGATGAGAAGAAACAGCAAAACATAAATCTAGGGAATGTTAAACAGACGAGAGGTGAAACATGGTGTGTTTTTCCCGTAGATTTATTCGCGACCTCTATCACATGACGTCATTGCTATTATTAGACAGAGAGAAAAGTATGAATGGAATGCAATAAGGAAAAGGGATTCGTGAATTAGTTAGTACTCGCCATATGTTCATACTTTTACATATATATATATATATATATTTTTTTTATTATGATATCAAGTTCCTGTTAATTTAGTTATGTTATCATGGTTATCATTTCTTTTTTATGAATATAAGTGTGAAATACTTTTCTAAGTTATTTCAAAATCTAAGATGAGAAATGATGAACTGGTTTAGCCACAGAGCAACAGTAAGAATGTTGAGTCTGCAATTTGC